CTGACGCCTCTGTCAGAGGCGTCAGGCCTGGGCAAGGGGCTGATCCTGCGAATGGAGGGTGATGGGGGTCAACGCCTGAGGGCTCCCAGTATGTGAGAGGGGGCAGGCTGGGCTGAGGGACACTGCCCCCACACACACACACCAAGTGCACGAATTTCGTGCACCGGGCCCCTAATTAAATATAAAAGGTTAAGGAAATTTTACCTAATTTGGTGATATTTAAATTCCAGAGGTAGTTTTATACTACACATATACACTCACACTAAATATTTGAATTACAAAATTTTCCTTCATTACTGGAAGATACTTGATAAAATTTAGGCTTCTTTTTAATCATGTTGCCTCTATTGTTTTATCCTATCTCTAAAATAATTCATAACCTATATCTCTAGAAGTAAACTAGTGTTTTAATGATATTTTGCCTTATTTTTAAAGAAAATTTTTAATAGAAAGGCTAAAATATATTTGGATAGCTTTCTTTTTATTTCCCTAAAACATTTCCAAATAAAACAAGTCAGATTTCATTACCACTCGTCACAGTCTTTGAAAATTTGGGGCACATTAGGAGGCTACCCACCCCATTTTCATACTGAAAGGAATTTCACAATAAAAATTTAACAGCTTTCATTCAATATGAATCTATTAGGATAATATATCAATCTAGTTATCAATAACAAGTGTTACCAAAAAAATGAAAAACTTACTCTAAAATAAAATTCTTCATTCCATTTTGGGTTCAGCGTCTGGAAGAGAAAGTATCTTGTAATACCTTTTACAGTCTTTGAAATTTCAGCAGTTAGTAGTACAACACAGTCCACATATTTGCTTAACCATTTTTCTGATTTAAAAAAGAGCTGAGAAAGTCTCAAAGTGGCAAAAAGAAGCATTTAGGCAATTATTTGAGAATATTCTATAAACCAAACTAGGAGGGGCACAGATAATTTATAGACCAAAAAAACATAAATTGCAAGCTATCAATTAGAAGGAATAACATTGGGGAGCTGTAAAAAGCCATCATCATGAAGATAGAAATATATCTTTTAAGAAATTAAAATTGATATAGTTACCCTATCCAGAAAGAGATAAATTTTGTTCCCATCCCTCAACCTGTGTGCTACAAAAATCTGTTTTGGAGAGAAGTGAAGCAGGTGGTAGGAAGGTGAAAGTGCTCACTACTTATATAAATACTTATATAAGAACATTCTTTAGGAACAATATTGATGATCATATCATATAACAAGAAAAAATATCTGCCAGTTATAAACATGAAGTAAATTATTTCCCCCCAAAATAACAGGTTTAAAAATATTCTTCTCCCTATTCTTCCATCTTTCTCTCCATCTACCTCCCTATCAATCCATTTAAATATATACCACACAGAACATGGAAAGGATATTTTGTCCTAAGCACAGGGTATGTGTGTATGTATGTGTATATGTGTATATATATATATATATATATATATATGTATAATTTGTGCATTTTGGACATGCATAACACTCTTAAATAAATACATGTCTTAAAAATTATGTGTAAAAATTTGAGACTGAGAAATCACAACCTCACCCATGGCTACAGATACTCTGCAGTCAGAATATTTTCTTTTATGAACTGATTTCCTTTAACATACTAGTGCAGAAAGAAGCAAATAACAACAACAACAACAACACAATGCACCATAAAAAATAAAAAACACAATTTGTATAACACTGAACTGGCATTTTTAAAAATCAGCACTTTCCCCACCCACAACTCAACAGTAAATCCAATCCTGAATAGTGGATTTCATATTTTTAGCTAAGAATGGAGCGGGGATGGTTATGGGAGACAGGATGGTGATGGAAGAGAGGAGGAGGGAGGGGAGATGGGTGCCAGGCAGCCAGGGAGAGGCAGGGCAGGCCCAGGCGTGCCATGGGCTGCAGCAGCCCTGGGGACCAGCTTCATAGAAATGTAGAGGGGAGGAAGCAGAGTACAGGTAAGGGCAGAAAACAACAACAACGTGAGACCACAAAACAGCATGAAAGACCCCGGCACCAGGCCGGGCGGAGAGGAGAATGAAAGCAGTTCTTAAACCCCAGCGAACACAGCGCAGTAATACTAACCAGGAGGCTGGCTGCCAAGCAGGCAGAGCAGCCCCAGCCACGCAGCTGCACCTCTACCGTGGAGCGGAGGGAGGAGGAGGGCCTCCCTTCTCAAGAAAACACATTTCAATATCGCAAATCACCGCCTCGGTGGCTCTGGTTCTCTGCTCCCTCCGCCTTCGGCTTGCTTCCCTGCAAGGCGGCCTCTCTCTCCACTGATAACCAAACCAGTGACAGCGCCCAGCACAGCAAACAATGGCCTCCATCCTTCGCAGGCATCCTCCCCACTAATCAAAACATTTTTAATGCCAGGCCGATGCCAGGTGGAGGGCATGCTACAGCTGCTGTTCCTTACACAAAATGACCTGGTCATGGAGCCCAGGCGTCTGCACAATAGCAGGAGAGTTACCATTTTTTTAAAAAGACATCCAACTCTCCAGGAAATGCTTATCACAGTGTTATCTAACTACCCAAAGGTAGCAAGGAAAAAATAATAGTAATGTGTAAATAACACCAAAGCATGAAGAATAACAGCATTTTGGATTTTAAAAAAGCATCTTCAACAAATGTCCTAAATATGGAGCAAATATTTCACATTATATTCCATGGTGATAGATGAATTAAAATACAATTAGGAAAACATCTTTAATGAAATCATATGTGTGAAATTTAGAAAAGTAAAACATATGCACATAAACATAGTTTTATTATTAATGTTTTTTATTTTCATGTAGCTAAGCAAGTATTTTGCTTCTTTGGAAATTCTTGTTTCAAGATAGACCACCCCCTTTGTGCCTACCAATTCCCCACACAACTCTATTTCATTAAATGTATTTTAAATTATTTTAAATTTCTTTATGAAAAATAATAAGCCAACAAGAACAATCTTGTTTTGCTATATTCTTTTCCTGGGAAAAAATTGCTACTTGTAATAATACTTATTTTAAGAATACTGTTTTGTACAGTCATTTTAGGAAAAGCCAGAAACATATTTTGGATTAACACTGAATTTATAGGTTTAATACTGGAAAATGCTTAAAATAAAAATATTTCCATCTTAATCTTAAAATATAAACTACTACAGACCCAAAATACATAATCTAATTGGGTTAAATTATGGCTTAAATGAAATTTAATTAGGATGGACACCTACCTTTTTAATTGTTTTTGTCTGCACCAAAGCAAGTTCTCTATTCTCATCTGCTACATACAATGAAAGTTTCACGTATGGATCACTGTAAGAAAATATTTAAGTTTTAATCAGATTATACTTTTCATTTAACAATTATTTAAAAAATTAAATTAGCCAAAACCTAAATGAAAATGCAAATATCAGTTAATAACCCAGCTTATGTAAATTCCACAAACTAAGCAATAACATTTTCAACATACCACCTAAGTAAATATACAAAGAAGTTTCTATCCACGAGAGTCGATGTCTATTTAGAAGCAAAACTATCACAAAACTCAGATTCTAACTTTAAAGATAATCTTCCCTATTAACTCAAAATATTTAAACTGCCATCATTTTTTTCCTAAACAAATTTCAAGAAAAAATATTAAAAAGCATACAAAATGTGTTCAGATTAGCACAATCTAGCTAGAAAATTTAGTTCATGTCTTATTTACTAGTATATTCTGATTTCCACTATTTATGTACAACTGATTTTTCTTTTAGTGAAGGAAAAGAAATTGTTTATCTAAACCAGGGATAGGGAACCTGACGTCTGGCCCGAGGGCTGTATAAGCCCCTTGAAATCATTTTGTTTGGCTCTGCCAAGGCATTAGGGCTGAGTTAATTAAGTGTTTGACCAAATATAGCAGGCTAACTTTTAAGTTGATAATTTTGTATGGCCCACGAATTATGTTATAAATATCCAAATGGCCCTTGGCAGAAAAAAGGTTCCAACCCTGATCTAAACCAACAACTATTATCTTACAATTAAAACAGAAACAAAAACTCAAAAACAAAGAACTAAGGCCCAGAAAGTCAGGGAGATTTGCCTAAATTTACAGATTTCAGTAGAGTCTAAGATTAAATTTCAGATTTCCTGACTACAAATCCCAGAGTTTTTATTACTTCCTTAGGAAATTGAAAACTTTTACTGAGAAGTGTACTGAAAGGATTGCTTACTGTGAACTATCTATCTACTAAGGGTGTGATAAATCCACTCATATTTTCTAATTTTGGTAACCTAGGATAACTCAAAACTAGTCAAACTATCACTTTATAAGAATTTGTGATCCAGGGTCTCATTTCACACACAAGACCCTGAAAATCATAGAAAGGGCTCCCATGGTCACTCATCTAATTATCTATAGCTGATAAATTATTTCTACCCTATTTGAGAATTACCCTTTAGCGGCTATAAACACTTATTTTGCAACTACCAGGACATTTCCAAAGATTACAGAGTATTGTTAAATGCTTAAGACTATATAGATTTTTATTTGATACTTCAACAAATATGCCATGAAATCCTTTAAGGAAAGAGAAAGGTGTGATAAAATGTAAAGTTTGGAAGTAACAGGACTATGCTCAATATCCCAAAAACAAAAATCAAAAGTTAGTGGGGGGAAAAATATACATAGCCTTGATTATGGTATTTATTATACATAAAATACATCTTAATGTAAGCTACAACACATCTTTAAAAAAAAAAGCAAAAGAATTTGCTCAGTATTCTAAAGGTTCTGGTTTAGAGGAAGGCTTGATTCAAGAACATCACTTCTTTAATACAGACATCGACTTTTTCTTTTGTGGACACCTACAGCCTTAAATAAAGATGAATCGGGAAATAGATCTAATCCAGGTTTAAAGACCCTAGGAGCACTTTCCTAATCAGTCTTGGGGTGATGATTTAGGAGTCAGTGGCTATGTGGTCCTTAGACTTGGGCAGATCAGAAGTGCCTGGGAGAGGGGATAGTTAAAATATAGATTGCTGAGCTTCAACCCCAAAGACATCTAAAGATCTAGTAGATTTGTGGTGGGACCCAAGAATTTGTATTTCTGACATATTCCCAGTGATTCCAATGCTCTTGGATCCAGGAACCACACTGAGAACCAGTGTTTTAGAAGGTTTTTAAAGAGTATTTTTTTTAGCTATAGAAACGAATACTCTATTTCCAGCCACCAAGCTATTGCTATAAAAAAAAAAAAAAAAAAAAAAAGGAACCAGTCCTGATATCTCTTTCTCAAGAACAAGTTCCCAGAATGCCTTGGAGGTACATTCACAGGCAAGTGCATGCGCGCGCACACACACACAAGCCCACATGACAGAGAACTCTATAAACTCTGCTGATTGTGTTTTCATGTCCCTCGGCTATCATGATTGCTGCCTATTATATAACTGCAATAAAGAGCTAAGCATTCCCTTTAATAGAACATCCACATTCTTCTACTAATCATTGACCTCATTTTGTGTCCTCTGAACAGTTTACAGCAAGTGCCACATGCACCTGGGGGTGAGAGTGGGGTCTCTATGTCTGGGGCAGTGGGCCTCAGCTGTAACAAGGACAGCATGCCTGGGTGTGTCCTGACGTGCTCATCCAGGTACAAGTAGGGACTGGAGTGTCTACCTGGAAGATCAACCAAGAAACTCCTGGAAGAGAGAACCAAAGACCAAGGTGTGGGAGCAGGATACAAGTTCAAGGGGTGGGAACACAGGGCCTAGGATGGGCTGGTTAAAGGGCAGGAAGACCCAAGTTCAAGGGTGGTGCTGGTGGGAGCTGCCCAGACTGGTCTCAGGTGATGGTACAACAGTACCATTCACATTGACAAATATTTACCGAGTATTGACTACATTCCAAGGACTTTGCTAGGAGCACACACAAGTGCTAGTGAGCTGGGGGGGCAAAAAAAGGTGAAATCAACAAAGCTCATAAATGGACATCAATGCATAGCCCTACTTAGCCCAGCTGAGTGAAAATGACTGCATCTTCCCGTTTCAGCAAGGTGAAAGCTGGAGCACAAAGCTGAGATGTGGTTCAGGACATCAGGAATTAGAACATGAGCAGGAAGATGTCAGAGCAGCCTGAACAGGAATCAGTTCTACCGCAACTATCAGCACAACTGGCACCAGCACCACCATGACCAAAAGCCCAGCACCCAGTCACCACAAAGGATCCAGTCCTCGCCTGGCATACGCGAGGTACTTACTTGCGTATCTTATTGGATCCTCACTGCAAGATTATGAAGTTGGCAATTTTCAGATGAGAAAATGAGACAGACATCAAGCAGGTTAATCAGTAAGTAAGGGAGACGGGAAGGGAGGGATACAGCATGCTTGCTTCAGAATCTAGCTCCCTGAGTGCACGAACACAGCCTTGCCTCACACACTACCTTGGACTACCAAGAGGGCTGGCTGGAAGGAATGTCTAGAGGCAGAAGCTTCTAGTATTCTGCCATGTTGGAAGACATTTTAGATGAGACTGCTATTATGATACATTCTTTATCTTATCTGTGGTAGGAGAAGGAACCAGACGCCTGAGTTAAGTGTCTACTTTTGGGGAAGGCCACACATTCAGATATCATCTTGTCAACACTCCAAATAACTAGCTGTGTAACCTTGGACATGTCACTTTAGCGCTGTGAACCTTCATTTCCATATCTCTAAATAAGGGGGTTGGACTAAATCATGGTTTTCAAACTACAGAACCTCAGTTCTACATAACTATCTCAGGATAACTACCATTCTACCATAATTTGTTTCATATTTTTGGCTTCCATTTCAGAAATTTTTTTGGACAGAGTTTTAGAACTTAATATAAAAAAGTTTTAAAACCAATAGAAATGGATGGTCCCTTTTAGTTAGAATATACTGAATCTTGCCCTAGCTGGTTTGGTTCAATGGATAGAGAGTCGGCCTGTAGACTGAAGAGTCCCAGGTTCAATTCCGGTCAAGGGCACATGCCCAGGTTGCGAGCTCAATCCCCATTAGGAGGTGTGCAGGAGGCAGCCAATCAATGATTCTCATCATTGATGTTTCTCTCTCTCCCTTTCCTTTCCTCTCTGAAATCAATAAAAATAAAAGAAAAGAATATACTGAATCTCAGAACAATTCGAACTTGTTTCTCATCATTCATAAGAACTAGAGCCCACTCCATCCTGGTAAACAAAGAACTTTCTAGAGATATAGGAGCAAGAAGGAATAAGACCCTTCCCTCTACCAAGAGGTTTTCTCCATCAGGACATAGAGCCACAGTTTTGAGTATGACAGACTACTCTTGACCATCACCAGGCTGATATTTCGCTACACATGTTATCAGCGTCTCATCAGCTTACCTATTAGGAATGAAAACCGAATCACCTAAGCAACAAGCAAAAACAAAATGATGTGTTTTTGTGTCTGGGGCAAGTCTAAGGGTCAGTGAACCTCACCACCAGCTTCTTCTCAAATGCGTGCATGCTGTTTTAAGACCCAATGGCCTTTGTTTCTGAACACGATACTCTGCAGGGGTGGTAAAAGGGAGAATTCAGTTCCCAGGGACTTTCCACACCAGTCCACACGAGCCCTCTGATAAACACCCGAGTTCTGGAAGAACCCTCTGCCCCTGAAGCTATACCTCACAGATCCTCAACATATCCCCTATCTTGGCTGCAAAAGGTCAGCCAAGTCCTGAGGTCAATGGTTAGCTATGTTGGCGATGACTTCCCCCTGCTAAAGCTTCAGAACGTTTAGGGAGACACACAAGAAGCTCATCAGCAACTCCTATTATTACAGATACAGGACATAGGCATAGAGAGCTCTGGTTTTCATGTGACTCCCTTTTGCACTGTTGTAAGATTGTTGTTGTTAATCTTTAATACATAATACTTTTATAACAAAACAAAACAGGCAGGCAATGGGAAGCAGGCAGGAAGAAGACCCTGACCATTTCCACTGGAGTCTCAACTCTCAGCTTCACCAACCTCTGAGTGACCTTCAGACAGTCCCTTTATCACTCTTAACTTCAGAATGCTTTGAATGAAATGGGAATGACAACTCCTAACTCAGAGAGTTACTGTAAGGATCAGAGAAAATAATGTACTAATTTAGCACCCAGCTCAGCACCAAACACAGAGTACATGTGCCCTATTGATGACACCCATGCTAACTGGGGTTCTAGTCTTTTTTCTCTTGTAAGACATTTGAACATCTCTGTCATTCCCCTTCTGACCACTCACTTCTGCTGTGATTGCTGATTTGATCTGCCACCGATTACCTCGTAGTACAGACTGGGTGCCGCCAATCCC